CTGGCAGCAGAAACATTTTGCAGGACATTGTAAAATTAAATGACAGAATGCTTGAAGTTATAAATGAAGATAATATAAAACAGATCTTGTATCTTTTAATTGTAGTTAGAGTAACATTTCCAACTTTTCTTGCAAATTTGGAGATATATACACAGCAGAAACAAACAAGATTTGTAGCAAAATAGCACCAGTCTCCTGTAGTACGGAAATTGATAGCTTGACATTTCTCCTCTGTGTCGTTGTGTCCCCTCCACCCCCCCCCAGTTCTAAAATCAATTTTAATGTTGTAAAATTCAGCGCTGCAAGCTTAGGGAAATCACAACTGTGAAACTGCTCAAAGCCTGCTCCAATTCAGAAGTGCTGCATTTTGCTGTTTGACAGACTTCACCCTCCCAAGTTCCCTCTACTGAGCATCACAGTCCAGTCGCTGCTTCTCCTCATTCAAGATTCTCTCAGGAAGTATCTACAAGTCTCAGCCCTGGGCTGCACCCACGTTGCATGAATGAGAAGCCTTCACGTGTCACACGCCTGCCCACGAACACATGCACAAACCCAACTTACAGCCATTGTTGTTTCCGTCTACTTTTAAAAAATTGTACAAGACATGATAACAAAAACATCCAAAGAATAGTTAATCTTAACAGTTATTTGCTTCTTATGTATTCATACACTAATGCACTGTCTTTATTAAAATTATGCAGAACCTTTCTAGTGGAAAGTGTTTTGCAGTGCTCATCACTCAATACAGATGTGATTTGGCTAACTTTCAACCCACTACTCGAGACTGCACAGCTCCCTGGATATTGATGCTTCCACTACATCTTACATGTTTGCTTCTTCTAACAATTGGTCACGGAAAACTTCCTTCAGGCTATCATGCCTCACTGAGACAGGAGGGACCCAATTTTTCTTCCCCCCTTTAGCAAGAGGGAAGAAAAATCTCTCATGTTGGAGGGGAAAAAGGATTGAGAAAGATTGGGCAGCAATTAGAGAGAAAATGTAAATATTCACCACCTGCTATACGTTGATTTTTGTAAGTTTACACCTTCTCAAATTACTGTTTGCTAATAATCACGGTCACTATTTTACCTACTTTTCAATACTTAGTGAAGTATTGAGTCCTTATTAAGAACAAAAAGAGGCCTCCGAAATCACTGAAACTGTACCTGTTTACACTTCAGGGGAACATGTCCCATTTCTATCGTCTTTTTCCCTTGAAATATTTGAAAAGGAAAAGAGCCATAGAGTAGAAGTAATATGAACTGTGGAATATGTACAACAACCTAGAATAATACCGTTCCTACAGTATCTCGTGCAGACAACTTTTCATAAACACAACAGTATGTTTAAACATAAGGCAAACGGACACTGGAGGGCACTAAAAAGCTCATTTGTGTATTTCCCTTCATGAAGTCCAATTTCATTTAAGCACTATAAAAGTAATCCTAACACATAGTATTGTTAAGAGTTATATTTTTAAAAAGCTTTTGTTATCGATGCTTGTTTGTTTAACAATCTGTTTACAGAATTTACATTTTTATGCTCGAAGTAGATTTTTTTAAAAAAAAAATTATTTCCAAAGAAACACTGTTTACTACAGGTCTTAGTACAGTTGATTGAGCTGGTGCTTCAACAGAATTGTAGTCTGTTACTTAGTATAGCAGCCACTGTTTTTATAATCCTTGAAACAGTAGAATTCCCAAGGCAGATTTGTCAGGAAGCTGTAAACAAATGATTTTTCAAGATTTATTGGCAATAAACAAAGTGATCTTTAGTCCTTTAGGATTTAAATTTCTCTGCCAAATTGGAATTTTGGAAGCTGTGGCATCTACTTCCAAATTAATACTCTGGAGCAGTATGGAAACTTGTCTCTGAGGAAGAGTCAAAATCTATTTCCAATCCAGACTCATCAGAATTTGGGAGAAAACTAGGATAGGAGTTTAAGACTGAATGTTCCTGTATGTTAGCAGAAGCATTTTTCATAGCTGAGTGCATGAAGCATGAAGATTCCCAGAGCCAGGTTTCAAGGTCTGCAGAACAGCGAGGCATTTTAAGATGGCAGTATGAAGAATGAAATTCCACAGCAGATGGGACAGTTTGACATTTTCTTAGTGATGTATAGTTGTCTTTCCTGTTTAAAAAATAAAAGAAAAAAGTTTATTAGTGTTTGAGTGATTTTCAGATGTCTGACAGGGAATCTTCATATAAAAGGAAGAACACTAGAGGAAAAAAGTTAATTCTAAATGTATTTAGTGAGTTAGGATACGGGACACCAGGAAAAGGATCTTGAAACAATCATATCTAAAAGAAGGGCACTCGACCATTATGGGTTGTCCTCAGAACTAGGTATAAAATAGTTACATTAAAAGTCAGACCATTCTGATGGGCTTAGAAGGGTAGACCCAGTTTAGTTCATTATCTCTTAAATAGTCCTGATCTCCCCCCAGCTATCCACTAGCTATTTATCAGTCACAGCACCAACTGAACATTAACAATAACAGTCTGAACATTTACAAGTTGAGTGGCAAATACAGTTGTTCAGCTTCCGAAGTGCCATCTCTGCATTCCATTTCACAACAAGCTAATTATCACCAACCTGAACAGCTGGAACAGAACTTTCCTACACTCTAAAAAAAGCACCTGAATCGCCAGGTTAGTCTTTTCCAACCTGAGAAACAGGGAACTGAAGTTGTCACCAAGAATACCCAGTCTTTTTCTTTAAAGTTCTCTCTCCTCTACCGCAGTGCTTTTGGGAAAAAACAACAAAACAACCTGCAACGCCCCCTCTCACACACAAGAAACCCCAATTCATCATACACGCATTTCAACACCAGTTTCCATACCTAACGTTTAGGTGCGCTAAAAGATACCATCCACTGGGTTAAGTTTCCTAAAAGGATTTTCAAACTCTAAACAGTGCAAATTTTCATGAGATTTAAGTTTGATTCCAAAACAGAAGCTAGATCTGACGGCATAAAGTGAAGAACGTAAAAAAAGATACGGGGGGGATAACTTTCTGCAAAAGTAGCAGTAGGTTCTTGGTGGATGCTGAAACAAAATACAAGCCCACAAAGAGCCACCTGTAGAATACAATGCAGGTTTCTGCACACACAGCCTTGGGACCTAGCTACCTGAAGGGGGAATCCACTTAAAGGAAGGCTTCAGAAAACTTAGAAGTTTGACAGTGTAAACAGTTCAGTGGGAGCTGATCACCTTGAAGTTACCATAAAAGCATACAGCAAAAGCCACAAGACCACCATGTTCTGTTTTAGGGCCAAGAGCTTGATCTTTCCACAAGAAGAAAAACAATGTTCCTGGTTAATCATGACTCAGGGACCAAATAATGCCTCTGAAAAGTTAGATCTGGGACAGTCTTGTGATTTTGTGCCTTCCTAATGCCCATTTCAGATGAAGAGTCTCATGATTGATAAGGCTGGAATATGAGCAACATCAAGAAGCTGCTAAATAAGGGTAAAAGCAGGAGGATGACTATACCCAAATTTGTTGTGGAAAGGAATCAGAAATATCATTAAGAAGAAAAAAAAAAAAAAAAAAGGACATTGGATGATGCATGCACACTGGGTGTGGTATGAAATAACTGAAAAGGTGACAATAGGATGATAGCAAATATATACCAAGAACTACATTTCTGCTCAGAAATATGGCCTCAAAAGCCAACTAGTGTTATACAAGAAAAGGCTTTAACTGATTTCAGAAAGGGAGAGGAGAGGCTATTTGTATACAGGAATTATATGCTTCTGAATTCTGGATAAAATTGAGTATTGTAAAAAGAAAATATCTTTACAACCTAATATTAAAGCCATCATTTAATACTTTCAAAGGGGGAAGGAAACCCAAGCTTCAACCTCATTAAGTCTTCCATTAAGCCAGAACCTTTAACAGTAAGTTTGACTACTCTGTATTTCTAAGGGGTGGAACATACAAATAGGATCTTTCACGATGCCAATCCAGAACCTGGCAAAGCTTCTTACAAGGAAGTAGGATCAAGCAGTTCTTCTCAGACATTTCAAACCTGCATTTCTGATGGGTCAGTGTATACCATTGCTAGGGCAAAAAAGAGCATCTTTCATCTCCCTCCTTATCTAACTTTATTACTAAAAACAAGGAAGACAAAACATCAAGAACTCTTGGCTTGAATAAAAGGGTATTTTTTGTTTTAATTTAAAAATATGCTGTATATATAACATGGCCATGCTTTAATTGAAATAACTGCTGCAGTTAAGAGTCTCCAGTGCTACAGCTATCTCTTGGAAGCGTTTATGAAGCATTTAAGAATTCTGTTCATTCCTAACAGCTTTTCAGGCTAATTTCTCTCCCCCTTCTTCTCCCTCCTACACATCAACTCCAGGAGTTGAGACAATCATCAGAAAAATTACAGTAAAATAGATACGGCCTACTCTGCTGAAGTCTGGATTTATGCTTTTTCAGCCAAATCTTAGGAGACTTCATATTTACAGGCATTTGGACCTCTGAGACAGCCTAAGTTTCTCTACTTACAACACTACTCTGACATGGCTGTGCAACTCTCAGTTCCAGCAATAAGTCCACTTTTTAGCAGGAAAATCTAAGCTGAATGTTGGTCATATTCATTTTCTGAAAGTTTGCAGAGCTGCTTGGGCAAATACTACACTCCCCAGCAAAAAGTGAAACAGTAATGGTATTCTTAGATTCATACTGTGATGAGTTGTCACCGATTCCTCCATACGCATAGTGCTACAAAGTTTAACAGAAGTAAGAAGTCTGAAAGGCTAAGTCTCACACCAGCTTGGCAAGAGAAGGATAATGAACCTAGTTACAACCAGGCTAGAGTAGAAGGTTCTCTTCCATGGAAGTAAAGGTACCTAAAAACTCTCCATGTGTGTCTTATTTTAATTCCTCCCAACTATCTTACAAGACTGTCCGTCATATTCATCTGCTTTTGAACTCTTCCAACCTTTTCTGTCCAAACTCCCAAGAATCTAGTCTTTCTCCCAGTGTTTCCCAGTTCCTGTCTGCTACATCTGATTTAGAATATCTTGAGCAACCTTTTCTTCCTCTTTTCTTCCTGACTGCTCCAGCTATGGTGGAACACAGAAGAAAAAAGGTCTCTGTTCTCAGACCAATGCTTGCTCTATAATCCACCCCCTCCCCAAAAATCATAAGCCTACAAACAGGCAACACCTCTTCATCTACAATATGTAGCAGTCACTGATCAGTTATAAACAAGAAGCACCAGCAAATATACTTAAGAAACAATGCTAAGGATTAGAAGCAGTGAGAACTTTTTTGTGTTACCTTTGAGAAAATTATTAAATCCTGTTTTAAGAGAGAAGCTTATTAGTACTTGAGACTCAGAAAAAAGAGAGAGAATTTCTAAAACCACATCATTTGCATGCAGCAGTACTCCACTTTACCTGGATGTACAGAACAGCTTGCTTTTAGCCTGGGAATAAACTGTACCAGCAATCCGACAAAGCTGTTCTTGCATCCATCGAACATCAGCAGGCATGTCAGGAAACCAGTTTACTAACCTACAGTCAAAACCAAAATACACATTGTTTTGTAAGCAGTAGATTCAGTCTGCATTATATGCTTATGTAGTACGTCCAGCATCCAACAAAATAACACAGCTTTCATTCTCCCCAAGTTAACTCCCCCACCAAAGTCTCCAGGTCTTCCCAACCTCTCTAAATTTCCATCTAGTCCACTCATTGCTTTTCTACAAGCTAAGAAACAGGGCAGCACAGACCACTGCATCTCTGATCTACATTGAGCAGCTGACCAGTATGTGCATTCCACACCTCGTGACAAACGTTTAGGAAGCCTGCAAAAAAATCCTGTCTCTGAGACCTCTTTCTGTGTGGTGGGACCTTTCTGGTCAGTTTAAAGTTAGGTGGGAGAGCAAGGAAGAAAAAAAAAAAAGAAAAACACAATAGAAGAACAAATAGAAGGCAGAAATGGAACAATGTCACAAATGATTTTTTTTTCCCCTTATGATGCTCTTAACAGAAGTCAGTTACATGAAAGGGGGACAAGGAGCAAAAACCCAGATTAAAATTCTGTTGAAACTTGCTTCCTCTCCATCCACCAAAAATGGCTCAGAAATGACACATTAAGTGGCACAGAAAAAAATACTGTACTGGACTTCTATGTGGTTCCATTTATAGAACATTTGATTTTTCAAATATTTTCTAAAGATAGTAATGACATCTACTGTTCAAGGACTGGAATTCTCTTAAGCAAGCACAAAGCTTATGGTTCATGGTGCACTCATTTAGCATAATTTCTCCTTTATAAGACCTGAAAAACTTCTAAAATTAAGCCCTGTTTCAAGAGCACAACTTTCAGTCAACCTAAATAAACCCAGTAAGAAAATTTATATGCTGAGTAAACGCTGGATTTCACTCCTGACTTCAGAAAGAAGCTAAAGCACAAGAACTGTCTAGACAAAGTTCAAATACCACTGCAGAATATAATTATAATAATAAAGAATGTGCTCCCGGAAAACACAGTTAAGGGTGCTGCTTTCAAGCAATTACGAGACAGCTGCTAGTAATAAGAGTAAATTGTTTAGAAATCTTCTTGATATGTTTATCTAGCCTTATACTATAAAGGCTTTAGGAGGATGCATTATATAGGTAGAAATAATGGTCTTTAGACAGTTACCACTTGAATTCTTGAGTACAAGAATGTCTACAACACTGAATAAGCTCTCAATGAGTAAACTTCCAAAAGTGTAATAATTCTAAAATGGTTCATCAAAAATTCTTTACCGTAAAGCAACAGAGTAAGCAGACTCCACTGGTAGCGTATATGGTAGCATCAGATAGGATATTACCCGCATTGGGAAGAGTTTAGAGAACTGAGCGTAGAATCCATTCTGTTCTTTACAAGCTTCTTGTAGCGCTTAAGAATAATTATTTTTGAAAGAGATGTTAGACTATTTAAAAACAGTTTAAATAATTTGCTCAAAGTTTGGTAATCTTCAGTCAACATTATAAAGTGTTACTGAATAAGGCTCAGGTAGAATTCCTCTCAAGGCACTCCTCCCATAAAGCTTCTCTATGGTATTTTAAAATATGGGAAACACAGACTCATACCACAGGGACAAAAGGCATTACCCAGAACTTTCAAGCAATACATTTAAGAATTAATTTTTAATAAGAGCATGTAAAGGTCACCTCTCAAAATATACTTATGTGTTTTAGATAATATTGCTGTCTTGTTAGGGACTCTGTAACTCTAAGGAGTTTGTTTAAATTCTAGAGTACTGCATGTTCCTGTTATCACATATAGTTGTAAGAAGTATCACACTTCAAATTTTGTTCTCCTACGTCACTGGGATCACAAGTTTCAGATCTTGAAAATATGCATCAGCATCCACAAAAAAACCTAGGTAAAAGTTACAGATTGAAGAAATACCAGCAGCGGTTTTGGTCTATTAACAGCTTATCAAAAAAGACAGGAAAGCCAGAGAGTTAGAAATCTACAGAAGTTTGTTTTAAAAATAAGATGGGGGTAACCAGTGTTTGGATTTGAGGTTCAACTTCAGTGTGAAATACATGCTTACAAAAATACTGTGCACATACAAAATTTATCCAAAACCAAATGAGAATTCAGTTCACACCTCTGCAGTGTTGAAAGTAGCTCCTTCCTCCTGGTTCAATCTTATTTCTGTAGCTAAATCAAAATGTACATGTTCCCATTTAGTAAGTATTTAAAGAACTTTTTGGGGTTGAGCTAGTCTCTAATATCACCAGCAGTTATAATATTAAATAAAAAGCATCTTATGCAAATTATAAGAGTACACAGGGTGAAAAAAACACATCAAAGTTTGCCATTCAAGGTTACAGAAAACAGTCTGAAGAGTGTACCTTTACGAAGTCGAGGAGGTAAACTCTCAAATATGCTCTTCTCCAAAGGCCATGGATTTTGTTTCAACTGGTCATTACGTACTTCCCTTTTCAAAGTTTCTACTTTGTTATCTTCTATCAATTTTTTTTTCTTCATATGGTCAATGTGTAGTGAGGCCTCATGAGGATTTATTTTTGTGAAGGGCAAGTGGATATAAATTGAGTCATTCAGAATACCTGAAAGAGTCAAGAGCTTCCACTTAGGCTTGATCCATGGGTCTTCAAAGTATCTGTACAGTACCTGTAATCTGTGTATCTGTTCAAAGGCCTATCCTGAGGGAACATTATCTACCCAATGTCAAATATTGCACTTGCTCTTATAATCCCACAAACGTTTAATCACACTGATGAATGAATACTCTTTTGCAGGTTTACTTTAAAACATGTTCTAAAGAAAAGGAAAAAGTGAACAATTAACTGAAACTGCACTGGAAACATACAGTCATTTAGCAAAGCTGTTTACCAGCAAGAAAACAAATGATTTAAAGGAGAGAAGAAAAACTGATTTAATATTTATTTGAAAGAAAAGACTTAAAACACATCAGACATTTGGGAAATTTGACATGGGAGGTATCACGTTAGTACTTTGACACATTGCTACAACAGAGTGGAGAAGCAAAGCAAGTAGGGTACAATATTGTTCTAATATATATATCCAAAGTACAGATCTAAGTCAACATTGGTTGCCTTGCAAAACTGGTGCCAATTAAGAAATAGCATTGATAATTACCTTAGAAACCAGCACTAGATAATGAGCACAAAGTAAAAAATACAAGAAGGGTATTTATGTGCAGTTTCCAGAAAAGCATTAGAAAGTTATTTATATATATAAAGACTACCAAATTTGACTAGGATCCATACTGACATACAACAGAATCTGTATCCTACTTACAATTACTCCTAAAAGACAAGTGTCGAAATAATATACAGTGGATTTAGCAGAAAAGTTATCTGAAGTGTTACAGAGGGGGGGGGGGGGAATTAACTCCTACAGTTGAAATAAGAAGAAAGAACATGTATAATGTGCAGCCAGTACTATCTGTAATAGTGCAAACATCACATTTCAGCTTCCATTGCTCTAATCTGACCCAGTACCAATTTGCTTCTGCATTTCAAGACTACAGGGGTTAGGCATATTTAACACATGGTTAACTTCATGCTAATATCAAGTTACTGTCTTTAACTTGTTTGTCTCAAAGTGTGCAGAGCAATAACATTTATTAATATAAAATATGTTACTAGAATTCTAGGAGTACCGCAAAGCAACTTTCAATTCTTCTCAAACTTATCTGGGTCCCAACAACTGCTACATTACAAGTTGTCCTCTTCTAAAGTTTTTCATGATACCCACTAAGGATTTGTCTGTGACAGTTTATCTTGTTGTTCGCCAGCTCCCGGTTCTGGACTATAAGGCTTTACCTAGAAATTCACTTGAATGATAGCAGAGAGAATGTCCCGGTTTCGGCTGGAACAGAGTTATTTTTCTTACTAGCAGTTGGTATAGTGTTATGTTTTGGATTTAGGATACAAATAACGTTGATAACACACTAATATTTTAGTTGTTGCTAAGCTGTCAAGGACTTTTCAGCTTCTTGTATTGGCCTGCCAACAAGAAGGCAAGGGAGCACCCAAGAAGCTGGGAGGGGACACAGCCAGGACAACTGACCCAAACTGGCCAAAGGGATATTTCATACCCATATGAAGTCATGGTAAGCATATAAAGCTGGAGGAAGAAGGAGGAAGGGGTGGACATTCCCAGTTTAGGCGTTTTGTCTTTCCAAGTAACCATTACGCATGATGGAGCCCTTCCTTCCTGGAGATGGCTGAACACCTGCCTGCTAATGGCAAGTGGTGAATTAATTCCTTGTTTTGCTTTGCTTGCATGTGCAGCTTTTGCTTGACTTGTTAAACTGTCTTTATCTCAGTCTATGAGTTTTCTCACTTCTACTCTTCCAACTCTCTCTTCCATACCACCGGGGAGAGCTGGGGGGGCACGGCAGCAGTGAGCAGGCAGCTGCATGGTCCTATATGCTGGCTGGGGTTAAATCACAACAGGGGAGGTGAAAAGAAGATAAGGGTTTCACGGAAGTGGGAAACAGTAGCCTATTCCCATCCTTCATGATTAAAACAAAAGAAACTAATAATATGATTTCCCTAGATTTGGAATTCTTTGGTAATTTCACTTAACAATACTTTACATTCACTTCACACAAATTTGACGAAAACCCGAAAGTTCAATTTCTGTGTGGCTGCACAACTTACCTCAGGTGAATATTTACAGCAACTATGTGATTTCTACAAGAACTAAACTTCAAAACCCTCAAGGACCTCACCCCTTCTTAGCTACATACAACCCCTTCACCCTGTTTTGGTTCTTTTTTAAACTCAGGCTAAGACCACATCATCAATAATTATCCACAAGTGTAACATACCATTCTCTTTCAAGAATTTGAGAGCATCTGAATATCCTTGCTCACAGATCTCTCCTAGTACCTGCAAGCACAGGGTAAATGAGTCAGACAAATAAAAGGAGATTCAACTAAAGATCAACAGTTTGCAGAACGAAAAGCCACTTCCACCCACCCTCCATTCTTGTAAGAAAAAAGTTTTCATTAACAATTGCTATAATTCAACAGATTCAGGTTAATATACTGTGATGATGCAGACGTGATCATGCATACATAAACTTATCTCTCAGCTGTTTCAGATGCACTGAATTATTCACCTAAAAGGACAGCACTAACAGTTTGCAAGAATTTCCTCCCCTTTTGTTTCTTTGACTAGCCTTTCGGCAGATGCAAGCAACAATGAAACAGGGTGGCCTGGAGTATGCCAATCCCCCTCCTTCCCTCCCAGTGCTTCCCACTTCCCAAAACTATGAAAAGTCAGCTGTGCAATTCTCATGCTCAAACTCAGACTTTGTCTTCCATATGAAAACATCTTTCACCAGATGCAACACCAGCTCACCTACACAGTAGTCCTAGACAGAAAAAAATAAAAAAAATTAAAGCCTACATAAGTAGAATTTAACATTTTTCTTCAAGTGGTCAAAAAGCCCTCAATTAAAAAAACATATCTATAGCAGTCAGGAACATTACTTCTCCTCTGTAGTATATCCCAAGTCAACTGGCAATCCAAGAGCATATCCCTCAGCAGATCTGTAATTAACAGCGCTTAGCAAAGCGTAAAGGCAACTTGCCTGCATGAAGTATTAATTGAGAACTTTATAAAACCATGAAGCTTTAGAACTTCTAAGTTCCGAAGCACCTGGTTAGTAGGTAAACATGAAAGGACTAACAACTGACAGTTATTAATTTACCAATGTTGATTTTACGATAGAATCCTATGGTAATTCCCAAATAAATACTGAAAGCCAATAGCAGGACATGCGGAAGAATGAAGACAAAAATATGAAAAATAAACAAGAAGAGAAAGGTCACCAGAAAAGTTTATATAAGTAGATGAAATGCTAAGATTACTGTAGCTTTCTGCAAAAACAAAGCTTTTATATGGAAAGATGTTTTAGTAACTACATGAAGGCAGTGGGTTACCTTAGGTTCTGGTGGAAAGAGTGCTTGTGTTAAACGATAAAGGTTCCCCAAACTGAGCTGAATGCTGGTGTTGGTCACATTCATTTCATGAAAGTTGGCAGAATTCCCCTTTGGACAGATATCACACTCCCCAGCAAAAGGCGAAACTGTGATGGTATTCTTAGACTCATAGTGAGGTAAGTTGTCACTGATTCCTCCATCCACATAGCGCTACAAAAATTGAAAGAAATAAGAAGTCACAAAGGCTGAAAATTTCCAGCTAGCAGATTTCCCATGCAATAAAATAAGAATAAAATAGCACTTAAGGCTGTAACAGAACACTCTCTGCCTATGCTCCTGGGCTAAATATTTTGAGTAGTATGCTTTGTCCTCTAATGCCAGTTAAAAAACATTTCTACCTATAGTTACGTAGATAGCCTAAGAGTACTCTATTTGGGATTTGTCTGCATGTTTAAGACAGAGCAAGTCCATTTTAAAGATCATAATCCTACACAACATGCAGAGAAAAAGTAGTGCTGCTGTTTCCTCTTCCTCAAAGAAGGACACCAACCAAAGAGCTACCAGAGTACTTCAGAAAAAAATACAAGTAAAAGAATAGCTCTACATTTCAAAGCTCAAGTTCCATGATACTAAACCATTCAGTTAGAGTAATTTTAAGTTACTCTTATTCTTAGTGATTAGAATTTGATATAAAAGCATAAAAATATTTGGACATAAAGAAACAGCAAGTAAAAGTGGACAGTGCTTCAGGAACCTTGCCAACAGTCATGGTATCTATTCTGTTTTGACTGCAAGTTTAGAAGCTGTTCCGGGTTATGCTTTTGTCTTCTTTGTGTTGACTTGCCCATTTCTGTAGTTTTAGTGCATCACCATCTCAGATATTTTAAGATCCAAGAACTGAAGAGTTCTGTATCAGGGTAACTAATCTATAGTGCAACAGCTGCTATGGCTAAAGACAACTCCTCCACTCACTCACAACCGCCATCTTTTCGGTGGGGCCAATCGTATCTAGTTTGTTCTGACAGCGGCAAGCGGCTTGAGCTGGAGCAACCTGGATTATAATTTCATCTGCCTTCATACTCACTCCCTGACCATTCTGAGAAGCAAATTAGAGAGAGAACAGCTCAGAGCATACTTTTCTAGAGCAGCCTGTTCCTACCTTTCAGCTTTCTTCGACACCCTTTAGACCCAGCACCATGCAGCTACTGACAAAATTCCTATAGGTGTATAATGCAATCACTAAAGCAGACGTGCAATCACCAAGTCTTTTGTGGAAGTATCAAGTACAATACAACAAGTCTGGCAAAGGAAGAGCCATAGCATGCAGACTTCTCATGAGAGAGGTAGAAGTACGCACTTGAATTACTGTTCTACAGAGGTAAATGGTTTTAATTATTTGGAGTTTCTGCCTATCTTTTCCCCCGGGTAATTTTTTCAATCTAAAACCATCGCTGTGTTTGAAAGGGGTAAAAAAACAACCAAACAAACAAAATGAAACCCACCACACCCAAAAGCTTCACAACTGGCAGTTAGATATACCTATATCCTTAAGTCTTTGGTTTAAAGTATACATGCATGAAGCACCAAGCCAGTAAACAGCAAGATGCTACAAACTTTACATACATGACGTTCCACTCTGTTTAAACCCTACAGGGGTCATGCCAAACATACACAACTGTGGTATTCTTACCAAGTTACATCAAAAATGCCTCCTAAACATTACAATCATATCAAAATAATCACAAAGATCAAAAGGATACAACGATTCCTTCCTTCCCCTTCCCTCAAAACAGGCCCAAATAAAGCATCACTTGTATGTTTTCGTGCTCTGAACTAAGCCTTTTAAAATAACATTGTTGTCTAGTGACAAGAACTGAATAGCCAGATTAGCCTGGATCCACCTAAACCTTGGATTCAGTCCAACGTCCTGTTTTCATAACACCTTTAATCTGGAAGAGTTTAAGGAGACATACAAGGTTTAGAAGTACAGATAAAGAAAAAATCCCTATACAGTTTTAATTACTTTTGCTTAAATTTCAGCATGAAGAAAGAAATGCATTTCATGTCTATCCTTGACCTCTTAGCACTTCCAAATTGCCTTGAGAACAGTCTGTAATCAACCACTGTTAAAGATGTTTTAAGTTTTCTTTCAATATTCTTCCCCTCTCCTTGTGTAAGGAGCACCAGTGTTGGAAGGAAAGCAAATGCAAATTAATACAACACTATAACAAAAACCCATGAGCGTCACTGCCTTGATTTTGCAATGCATGTCTGCTTCCAGACCTGTTAATCAGAACACCTACAACAAACTACACTCACTTTTCTGCAGTTGTTTCCCCTTTAATGGGGGATTTTAGAAAATCCAGCATAGCCATGAAGTATTAAGAGGTTTTGTAACCAACAGTTCCTGAGAAGTAATAGAACAGACTAATATACTGACACTTCACCTTTAAAAAGCAACCTTTCTTACACTGAATACAAATGACAGAAGATATTAAAAAGCTTTGTTTGTATCTAACTGAACATGGAACTTTAATCCAGTTTTAAGGCAGATCTGCCTACAGCAAGAACACAAAGATATACAATAAACTATTTTACAAGATTTTTTTTTAAACAAACAAGCATAAGTGATCCTTCCTATAAATTCGTGCAGGTGAATGAGCATCACTTTCTTAAAAAAATATTTATCCTGAAGTTAAATAGTTGCTAGCTTAGAATATCCTCTTTTAATTACTGCATCAGCAAGCAAGAAATTTAAGAGAGCGCGCAAGTGCACACAAGTGTGTGTTTTGCAGGGTGAAAAAGAAACGTACATAACAGATCTTCCACACATTTAGTGTTTCCTTACTATTTTGAAAAGTTCTAACATACAGCTACAGTACTAGAAGCTATGGTGGAGGTATTTATTTTTCAGTAGGATAACCACAGAAACATACACATTATCTCTTAATATTTTCAGGATAGCTAGAACTATTTTTAGATCTTAATAACAGAGACTTACCACACCTCTAAATGATGGTGGAATTAGGCCACAATAAATAGGGACAAATGAACTACAGATTAAAGCCTGTAGGAAAATGAGACCATATAAATTAAATGGTAACTGTTCTATTATTGAAATTATCATTTATCTTTATCTCTTTAGACGTTAGCAAAAACAGCTGAGCAAGCAATCAAAGAAATCCCCACAAGTACACTTGAATAAAAAGAAGAAAAAGAAAAGGCTATTATCAAGCATTATTTTAAATAGGATGAGGTTATTCCACACTTCTTTCTTTAGAATGTAACCAACATTACACTTAGAATGTAAAAAAATTATAAAACTCACTAAAAGACCATTTCTAGAAAAGCTAATTAGCAAGGAAAGTTTATGATCATTCATTCAAGCTATACATTTTCTGAGTAACCAAACTAACTGGGGACACAAATATGAACATTCTGGAATCATATTAAACTAGCTTTATAACTGATATTAAGAATTTAAAAAAGCTATTTTTGACTTTTTCTTGATCATGGCCTTTGTAAGAATTACCTTAAAAAATTCTTATTCATGAAGGATATAGTTTCATTAGATACGCTGCACTTTAAAGGCACTTACCCTTTTTAAGATTGATCTCTCGCACCTACTCACTAAAATAGTTCGCAGATACATTGACTGGGAAAACTAGTAAGTCAATTTAGTGTAATGAAGCTTGAATTAATCTTTAAAATACTGTCAAAGTCACAATATCCTAAAATGTTTAAAATGGAAATCCAACAGATGACATTAAACAGACGTAAGATTACAGAAACTTTTAACAGCTGCCAGAAATAAACATACCTGGACAACTTCTTCTTTAGAGTTAAAATTAGATATCAATGCATTTTTACCATCTGATACTCTGGTTAGTGAAATACACAGTCTGCCCGATGATAACTGGTGAGTGTTTTCTGGAAGATTTCTCATCAATCCATCTCTTATTATCTTTATCACATTAAAGGAAGGATGAAGAGGACCAAGATTTCGCTTTCTAGCTTCTTTGGCTAATGCCAGAACATCTGCACAAGCTTGAGCTGAAAATAAAATGCATTTCATTTAATGAAGATATGTCAAAACCAAAAAACACACTTCCAGTAATAAGCATGTCTAGAGCTCCAACTTTTCTCTTTGATTGCTAGCATGAAAATTCAAGAGCTTTTTAACAGATAAAACAACTGACCACTAGAGTTTAACAGAGTTACAAGCTTTCAGAGGAAGAAAACCCTATAGTCAATTTAGACTTTCAAATAGAACTGGTGAAGACCCACCCACTAAGTTACTTATATAGAATCACAGAATTGTCTAGGTTGGAAGGGACCTTCAAGACCAAGTGTATGTTGACTGTAGGTGTAAAATACCCATATAACATGCTTCCATTAGGAATTATTAATTCCAGAAACACATTCTCTAAGAAAAAAATAAAGATTAATGATCTTCTGTAAGCATGCATGGACATATTCCATATGCAACAACCATAAAAACCTACAGTGTTTGATGCACAGTTGTAAGGTCCACAGTACGTCTGCTGAAGCAGCAGAGCAGCTGGGTTCATCACAGCTAGTAACACGTGTTAGACATTAAGCAAATTTAAGGTTTCAGGGTGCCATTTACATACAAACACAATAAAGGCAACATTAAATGTGAACTTATGGTAAGGAGCACCAGGAGGGAAGTTTTTAAAGCAGTGCGTAAGGAATGTGGAGGAAATCCGTAACACCCCTCACATAGGTCTCCACCTAAATAGGTGCATTTTTACCTATATGTAACAGACATATAATAATTTTTTCTCCAACTATATCAGCATTTGGGAACTAGATCAAAACACTACAGAAGACACAACTGTTCCCAAAGAACACTGAAATCACTTTAACAACCACACATAGTAAGTTCATAGTAAGAAGAATCATCCAGCTGTAATGTTTTGTTTGAAATTTTAATGTCATGCGTTTCCAGGGCATACCATGAGGAAATTGCCCAATAAGCTTGTCAACTTGGTAGAGGAAAGGGGGTGGGGAGGAAGGTCAAAGTAACAGGCTATTAACCTGACTGATATGCTACAAGGCCATCTAAAAATATTTTCAAACTTGCCTATTTTAACTTACACAGACTCTTTCTAGAATAGATAGGATTCAACTTATCATGTTAAATGTGAGCACTGCTCTGGAAACAACTCTTCTTAAGCCTTTGAGCTCAGAATAATTTCAAAAAATATTATCTTTCCACAATATTATTTTTCCCCCCTCAAATAGCAATACCTAAGTCTTTCTCTTTCTTAGCACAGTAAACCTATGTTCAAAAGACTAACTATAAAAAAATCTGAGGTATCAGACATACTCCATTTTTAGCACTATAATTTTTTTCATTCCCCCCTTGCCAGGCAAAGCCTTGGGCCATGAATCCACTGGCACCAGTAGCCTGACCTGCCTCCCACCCCAGCAGACAGCAAACTATTTAGACACAGCTCACTGTTAAGCAAATACATGCTTATGGTAGTAAAACACATTTTACATGCAATTAAAAAAATGGCACAAGACACACTCTAGCAAGTGAAGAAGTTATTTTCAAAAGCAGTTATGCACACAGTTTTACCAGTTCTATTTTTTATGCACTCAGACATAAATCACCACTTGCTTTTTTTTTTTTTTTTAAAACAAACTAATTTAGTGAAGTTCAATCTTCTAAACTTTCTAAAGAGAGAAATCAGGCACTTAGCAGGAGTTTGAGATACTGAACTACCAGAACTCTGTCCAGGAACAGCAGTCTTAGTGCATACATTAACTTCCTTTTGCAAAATAAGCACATTTTTGAAAACTTATGCACCAAGAAAGTAAATTGCTTGTTTTGAAAAACAGACCAAGAGCACTGGGTGCATGGACACAAAAGCAAACAAATACACATGCTCTCACTTCTCTGTCAGGTCTTGACCCTGTTTTTCTAGCTAGCACCCTGTGGAATTGAAGCTCAGACTATTATTTAAGTTTGAAGCATGGTCGCATCTTCACTCATTTGCACTGCAGGCCTGTTTCTGCAGGCAAAAAAAAACCCGCACCAGTGCCCTCTACTAACCTTGTATTGTGATTATATACCTCTCACTGTAAAAAATGTCAGGCAAGTATCAGCTCACTTTACATACGCCGTTATAGGCATGCAAAACTGATGACCTCTAACAGTTTAAATTTGAACTTCGCTCATTTCAACTTCTTTTCAGAAAATAACTACCCATCAAAATGAAATTTGATTTCACAGTTTACTCAGATATATAAGAATCTCTACATTTGAGGTAGTCTATCAGGAAAAAAAAATAAAAGAAAAAAATCAAGTTTACTTGTTTACTGTAACATTTTAAATCTGAGAAAGGTTCCTAAGCAGAAAAAGAGATATGTTGTGTCTACCCAAGAGGATGCAATATTAAAACACTGACAATTTTAAAAGCTATTCATTATTAGTTCAACAGACTTCAAAGTATTCCAACTTATTTTCCTTCTCCCTTCCTTCTTCAACAGGATGAAAATGCAGTTACCTTTTAGGCTGATATATTCTAAAATGGGATTTTCTCCTTCCATGACAACAGAAAGGGACAGAGGGCTAGAACTCAAGTCAGACTGGGATTTTAGGCAGAACTTGGTACATCTGTTTTATTTTTGAAAACATAAGAGAGCTAAAGAATTAATGTTCCTATTAAATGTGAACTGTTTCTAGTTATATTTCTATATTCCTATTTTTAATGGTGAAGTAACTACTAATTTGTTTCCCACAGAGTAAAACCTGACATTGTATTTACAGCCCCCACCAAACCTGTTCTCATTAGTGCCCCGCTAGAACGGACAACCACATTGCCACGAAAATACCTCAACCCCTAGACATCCCTGGGGAAGATCTAACACGAGGAGTGCACTTTAACAGTTCTCTAGTTTGGAACAGCCTGCAATGCACTTCATCCTCAAAGGAACAGCCACCTGCAAGCTTCTCCTTCCATCCTCCCCCAAATACAATGAAGGAAGTTTCTTCCTCAGTATGTAACAAGTACACTTTTTTCCCATTCAATGGCTAATGTTTACATTGATTCAAACTTGACACTCTACAGACTCTCAGTTTGCCTATCCAACAGGCAACATGAAGCACAAAGAAACACCTTAATTTAAAACATCCAGCTACAAACCTGTAAAAGCTGAAAGATGCACGTCAATTTCAGTCAAGACCCCATTCATCTATACACACACACACACTCTCAGAGCTTGTGCGCTGACAAGTGTACTAATGCAGGGCTGGGTCCAGTCAAGTCTTAGAACACTTCCAAGGATGGAGGTCCCACAACCTCTCGGGGCACCTGTTCCAGCGTTTTACCACCCTCATGGTAGTTTTCTTTTCCTCATACCCAATTAGAATATGCCACATCCAAGCTTGTCTCTGCTGCCTCTCATCCTTCCACTACCCATCTCTGGTAAGAGCCTGACTCTGTCTTCCCACAGTGAAATGCAACTGTGAAAACACGTGGGACTTATAACCACAACAGCAGAAATAACAAATACTGTGTATTAAAGTATCAGTGTAAGAGAGGTGTACAATATGAACAAATTAAGTATATCAAATTATTATACCACATAGTGTTTCTTTGCAGCTTATTTACAATCCTCTGCTTTCACACAAACTCACAAAAAACCTAACAGCTAAAAAGACACAGGAATAGCTTCTTAGTTGGAGGAATTTACAATGATTCACAGATTTAACAATGCAGCTGGTTTTGAACTGTCTTCCAACATAACCAAGTCACGTTGGGTTTTTTGTGTATGTGTGTTTTTGTTTGTTGTTTTTTGTTGTTATTATTTCCTGGGGTTTGGGGGGGGGGTTTGTTTGTTTGGGGTTTTTTGGTTGGTTGGGTTTTTTGGTTTTTTTTTTTTTTTAAGTTTGCAGAAAAAAAAATACACTTGCCTGTGAAATATAATACCTTGGGCAGTGATCACACACATACTAGCTAATTCTATTAGAGAAAAGCAAAAATCTCACTTGGCATATGAGAAGGGAAAGACAAGGGAATAATTTTAAGTCTGCAAGTCTCTAATTACTAAAATGCCACAAATTTTAAAAGCTGTTAATGAAATACTTTCAGGTAAACAGTAGATATATATTTTTGTGCTTAGGACCACTTCAAATATTTAAAGCAGCTTCCTTCTTAAATCATTTATTATGACTTAAGATTTAAAATTGGATATGTTCTAAAAATAAATAGTTATTGTGGCTAAATATGATTTGTTTTAAAAGCTGGTATAAAGGCTCATAATAACTGTGTTATGTTAGGACATTAAAGTTTTTAATTTAATTTTGCTGTAAGTAACATAAGTTTACTGCTAAAGCTTTGAAGAAATTAAGCATATGTGGTAGAGAACAGTGGCTAAGCAGCAGGGACAAGCATTTCACAGCATTACTCTCTTGCACATACAGAGAAATTCTGTTCATTTTAGTCAGTGAATTGTTCCTTCAGAAATTTAAAAGCAAAACCCAAACCCTCGCCAACTTGAAAATAAGCACTTATTGTTTTCCTCCTCCATCTATAAGTAAGATGAACTGTGAACTTACAAAACCTTCTAATTCTAAAGCTGTTAAGGTACTGTAAACAAAAACAATCAGTGATGAGTCATGAACCAGACAAGCTTTTATTCAGTGGATTACTTTGGCTTAAAAAGAAAACCATTTTCAGATTTCCAGATATTTCATACACTTTTTAAACTGCATTCCAGTCACTACCCTAAACACCTTGATATTTTGCTTGTATCAAGCTTGCTTAAATGTCTAGCATGTCTCAAAAATGTATATTTGGGTTCTCATGAGCCCTAAGTACATAGAAGTAAGGTATACTTTTCCTACTACTAGAAAAATAAGTGCTTATTTCACAAGGGGGACTATATTTAGTTGCAAACTAACATATTTCATTTGGTATAAATAAAAAAACCCCAAGATTGTTACCTAAACCACAAGTAAAATTAGCGATTTAAATCAATCCATTGTTTCTAATCATATACCTAAGTGACCTATGCAATATACACTGTGCACAGATTAAA